TATAGTTTTAAAGAATTTAGCATGTATTTAACGTACAGTGTTAATGTATACTGAAAAAATTAAAAGTACAGTTTTTAGATACTTACTTTGAAGAGATTACGTATTTAATTAAAATATAACAGGAAACGACTTAACTTTAATTCTATTTTAATTAAATTAAGTCAATATCAAGTTTATATATGAAAGCTCGTATATGAAAAGTATAATTAATTTAATATACGACTGCATAAAAAATACAACTACTTGTAGTATTAGCTGTGAATGATAAACTCATTAATTTTGGGAAAAAGTCGGGAGCTATTTTTGTAGTGTAATTATTGATCGACTAACAATTTGCATTACTAACTAGAGAGCATGGTACTAATTAATAAATGAAAACATACATCCGCTAATGCAACGCTCACTGTAATGTGAGATTTTCACGCTCATAACAATCAATTTTCCTATGAGAATAATTAATTTATGTGAAGTCAGTCATAAATGTCATTACACCGCAGCGATCTAATACTACAAATTTCAATTGATTTTCAACCGAGTGTTCTCGATCAATCTGGAGCAAATTAACGTTATCAAGCCACTCTAAATTCAACACGTTATTATTATCTTATACGCATTGCCCGCGCATTTTTTCAACAGAACGTTTGTCATAGCTTTGTGCTTCGTGCACAACGTTTTAATTGCGTATCATGTCGGACAGAGTGTCGTAAACGCATCCCGTCGGTTCAGCCACTGTCACGCAGTTGTCGCCTGGTCGTAACTCGACGTGTCGCGGCCGCCAGTAGTTATGTCCGCGTTATGGTCAGACGTGACGTACGTTTGCACCGTAGCGGTCTATCGGTAAGTCAAACGCCACCTTACGAACCGATATATATCGGATACAGTATTACACGCGCGTATAGAAATGTTTGAACTGTGAATAAACATTTATATGCCGCAAACAACCCGTACGTCGTGAATAAACGCGAAAGGGTAAATACACGCGAGAAAGGCAACAAATTTCAAGTAAAATAGTATATCCCTGCAGCCGTCGATGACCGTTCCGTTCACAAAAATAGCACAATTTTCGATCGATTTTTTTTTAGATTTGTTCAAAAACGACGCGTTAAATATAACAAACGATGCCGGGCGGGATACTCTGATAGGGATTTACCACGCCGAGGTAAATGCCGAACTTCCGAAATGTTCGTCCGCTGACTATATCGTATACCATATTCGGTTGAATACCGCTGGCTTTTGGTGGCAACGCTGGTAGTTTCCAAAACGCGACCAGCGGTAATGATCGACGGTATCGGTATAGATTTTCATCACAAAATCGGCCGAAGCGCGATACGATATTCAGTCGGCCGTACAGCCGTGGAATGCGTCGCCGGAGGATTACTCTCTATTATCAGAGCGATGCATATTGCGACGTCATAAAATCGTACGGGAGAGAAGCACCCGCAGGTAATCGAAAGCGCACTTCGCTACGCTCATGTTCGACGCATACCATTATCCTTTACGTGCATTACGGGCAGAGTTATAAACAACTGCACGAACACATCCAACGCACTCTTGGATTAATCCTGGACTATAGCTCCTTCCACAGCACAGATTCGAATTTCTAACACGGCGAGGAAGTACAAGTACTCGGCTTTTTCGAAAGTTTACGCTCAAACCCGGCAACCTATCTCTCGTTATACTCAGCAACAATAAATTAATCCGGTTACAAGAGGAGAATAATCACGCGAATCCAAATAGAGAAAAAATTTTATTACGACGTGAATGCGCGCACGGAGAAAGATATTCTATTTCCATCTCGGTAAACCAATTCTACGCAATTTTGGTACAACGTTAAAAAACTATGGTGTGCATTGTATTTTGTGCAGAATAAAGAGCTACGATACACATTCTGGAATTTCACTCGCGTCACGCGAAAAAGAAGTGGAACAGGTATTTCGTAAAGAAAATTAGAAAGGGAAAACGATATTATATAAAACATGTCGCTTGTAAAACAAATGTCGTAAGAGGAACGTTACAGCATTTTTTAAACATTAAAAGCTACATAATACTATTCCATGTGCGGCATTTGACCCGAGAGAAGAGAGTAGATTAGATTCTGGAATTGCTCACGGGCGCATGCAATAGCAAGATTGATCTCGCTTGGCAAAAGTAAAACTATTTACATTGCTGGGTATGTATACCGCTGTGACATACGAGAATGCACCTGAGAGAACATAAAATATTAGTGCACGCTACTTTACTTCTCAATTTTATCTGATGCGTTTCGTCTTTGAGAGCTGCGGGAATATGAGCCAAGTCATATCTCCGTGTAAATATATACATACACAGTCTAGTTTCATTTTATTGCCCATGCGATACTGGAACTGTCCAGGAAAGGACAGGACGTTTATTAACGCCATTTCGGTAGTATTCACATTGTTAAGGTAACGTTCTATTTCTCACGATTGTCGTGAATGCGAGTGATGCGAATTCAATCGACTGTATCGGACTGCAAAACTTCCAATCTCTTTTCTGTGTATCCGTAACGTCAAGCTTCGTTACTCATGTAGTTTTCACTCCGATAAATAATTACTTTCTTTCCTGAATACTATATCGATGTCATTAGCGAATCAACAGTCTGTTCAATTGTTGCGTACTATCTCGACAAGCGATTAAATATTCTCGAGAATGGATATATTTCTAAATATATCCAGCATCTGTTGCGTTATTCTTTTCTTGTTGCAATAATTCTAAGTACTCCACCTTTTAAAGTAAATTGCGGCGTTCGTTATCCCGCCGACGGCTGTAAATAATAAGTGCGATTGTAGGTGGTTATAGATCATCAGGAGACGTTTTGACCTATAGCGAATGAATTTCGAGAATGACTATACGCGTTTGATGAAGGCGCGCCTCGGCGGAGATAAAAGCACTGGAAGCTATGAATAATTCTGTTCGGTTCGTTTAGCGCTCCACCATTGTACGCGCATGCGAGGTCAGTCAACTCGGTTGCAGTTCAGCCACGTAATTGACCTTGCAACTTGCGACTTTATTTTCTTTATTCATCTACTTTTCATCCAATGGCAGAAATGTCGCGATCGATTTCCACGCCGAGCTCTTCGGGTCGGTGTTAAGAAACCTGATATCCCAGATACAATGTGTTTACTGTTTGAGCGTAGATGTACATCAAAGTTGCTACAACAACGAATATCTAGGGTATGTAAGTTAGCACCCCAACTATAGTACTCAGGAGTTCTTATTAGAGTTCCCACTTCCTTTTGACGAGTCGAAGAGTTCCCTATAGTTAATAACAAGAGTTCCGCTCAATAAACATTTTTTTTACATTTTTTAAAAATGGGGTCCTAACTTTTTATCGAATTTCGAGGTGGAATAATTCTGAGCGGCTTAATAATAGCTTCAATTTGCGATTGCCTAGAGTTCCTGATATGTAAAAAAAATTTTCGAATAATAAAAAAAAAATTAAAAATTTTTGAAAAATTAATTTTTAGATACAATAGTTCTGATGATAATTCCTGCTTCTTTTTGACGATACGAAGAGTTCTCTATGATTTTTAATGACATATGCGCTTAATAATCATTTTTTAATAATTTTTTAAAAATGGGGTGCTAACTTTTTAACGAAATTCAAGGTCGCATAGTTCTGATCAGCTTAACAGAACTATTTTGTGAATACCTAGAGTTCTTGATACATAAAAAACATTTTTGAAATATAATAAAGTTTAAAAAAAATAGTGGAAATCTTTGAAAATTTTTTTGAGAGTACCGAGTAGTTCTGAGTAGCGTTTCTTATAGTACTCGACGAGTTCTATCGAAAACTGTAAGGTGAAAAAGCGATTGGACCAACGGTTTGCAAGATACAGCGACATTTGTCAGAAGATCAACAATTTTTAGAGTATATCTCGGAAACCGTTGGTCCAATCGCTTTGAGCCCTGATACTTTTCGACAGAACTCGCCGAGAACTGTCCAGAACTCCGATCAAAACTCCTCGGAACTCCTAAAAAATTTATCGACGTGGGACTTAGAAAAAAATTTTGGGTCAAAAATTTTTTGGGAGTACCGAGTAGTTCTGTTCGGAGTTCTGGACAGTTCTCGACGAGTTCTATCGAAAACTGTAAGGTAAAAAAGCGACTGGACGGTTTCCGAGATATACTCTAAAAATTGTTGATCTTCTGACAAATTTCACTGTATCTTGCAAACCGTTGGTCCAATCGCTTTAAGCCCTGATACTTTTCGACAGAACTCGCCGAGAACTGTCCAGAATTCCGATCAGAACTACTCGGTACTCCCAAAAAATTTTTGACCAAAAATTTTTTTCTAAGTTCCACGTCAGAAAATTTTTTGGGAGTACCGAGTAGTTCTGTTCGGAGTTCTGGACAGTTCTCGGCGAATTCTATCGAAAAGTATGAGGGCTCAAAGCGATTGGACCAATGGTTTCCGAGATATAGTCTAAAAATTGTTGATCTTCTGACAAATGTCGCTGTATCTTGCAAACCGTTGATCCAATCGCTTTTTCACCTTACAGTTTTCGATAGAACTCGTCAAGTACTATAAGAAACGCAACTCAGAACTACTCGGTACTCTCAAAAAAATTTTCAAAGATTTCTACTATTTTTTGTAAACTTTATTATTCTTCAAAAATGTTTTATCTGAACTATCGCACGTGAGTGCTTGAAGAGCGAAAGCAACAATAATCTCACATGGCATTGTTTACTGATTCATATTTGTAATAGTTTATTGATATTACGGCGTTATTAATATAATATAATAATATTTTTAATATTCTTACATGCAATATCATGACAGTCTAATATTTCTATATGATTCTGAATTTACATGCAGTAATAATATCTAAAAAAAAAAAAAAAGGAAATACTTTTGAGAAAACTATGTATTGATATTCGACTGACGTGAAAAAAAAAAGATTCGAAAGGGATTGCCATTCGACAATACGCGTTTTCCTCGTCGACGATGGTATGTTTTTCAGATGATGTGATCGTTTCAGGATGGTCCAGCCTCCGCCTTGCCGTTGACCCAGACTCTGTCGAATATTTATGGCCGCAGATCGGCCAGTCCTGATGTTCCAGGCTCCAATCTAGATGAAACTCAGGTTCGTAAACGTGCATATTTTGCAAAAATAGATTGCAGATTTTTAAATTTGCTTCCGTGACGTGTACTGTCATTGCAAATTAAAACCTGTTTTATGAGAACAGTGAGAAAATCTTGTAGCAACTATAATACGATATTAACGAATATATTTAGTTTTAATCTTTTCCTATAAAATATTTAAAAATCTGTTCTTTTTATTTTGAAACGTTATATACTAATTTTAAGGCTGATGAATTTAATCAATAATGAGTTTATTATTATTAGAAGTTATAATTGTCTTTTGTATTTCGTGAAATTCTAATGTATAGATGTATCGATCGATATGCATGTGAAGAAATGGTTCAATCATTATTCGTACTTGAGACGCATAGCTTGGTAATGATTATTCGCAGGCTTGCGATGGTAAGCCCGTTTTCTATAGTTGAATATATCTGGGAAGATCCCTGGCTTACCAACTTGTTCGTTCGAAATATTCGTGGCAGCACAACCTAGAATTCTATTCATAGTCTCAAACCATCTCCGAGGCCTCGTCGATAACGCGATTTCCAAAGCTATACATTCAGATTCCCTACCTGTATCCTATTATTTTATCCTTGTTGTTCATCGAATGTTAACCAAGAATAGAATGATATACGGGACGGGGAATTCGAACGTGCCACAAAAAATATATCTTATGAAAAATAAATGTTTTCCTTATAAAGCATTCTGAAAAAAGAATTAAATAACAATTATAACAATATATTTGTAAATTGATAAAAATTAAAATAATCTCCCGGCGTATATTTCTTCAGCTCATTTCTATAGTAATTATCTGATGTTTGAGAGGTACAATTAATTTTAGGTTTATATCCAAACAAGCTCTTATGTTGCTAATCAAGAGAGAGGAGTTTCTGATCTTGCGTGATAGTTTTGCCCGATCTTAACTAATTTTAAATAAGCCAAGTATATGCTTAGACTCTAAAGCATCCATGATCGTTGGAGGGTGCATTTCTTATACATCTCTCTTTATATTAGATAGGTATAACATGATATCGATACAACAATACTATGTTCTGCCTGTAATAATTTCATACACTTTGAAATAAAACAGCAGCATGTAGTGTTTTAATGTTGAAAATTTTGGAACATGTTCTATATTCGCAATACCAGTGTAATATGAAATGGCTATTTGGAAAAATTTTATTACCACGCGCGTAACTTGGTGTATATTTACATTACGTGGCCATCGCGATGCGCGATGCACCATTGAAAAATCGACACCTACCGTATTTTTATCATCACTTAAATCTATTCGACATGTACCATAGTTCCTGCCGTACTTGTCCGTTCGAGTAGCATCCGGCGATCGAGCGATATTTTCAGCATGGAAATAAAAGCGTCGATTTAATGCACATCTTTCGTGCCTCGGCATTTCGCGGAAATCGAAATGAATATGCAGTTCGTGCGCACGTAAATCTCGATGAATACTCGACGGATTGCGTTTTCACCGATGCCATCAACAATTTTCGCAACTAGCACAAATTTATTTCATCGGCTTCTTTTCATCGGAAATTCTTCTTGTTACGATATATTTTTATCGACAGAAATTATGGGTTTGTAAATTGTTCTCTCTTTTCAAGCAAAATTTCATTCCAATTAACTCTTGCGATTACATTTAATAACTAGGATATAAAGTTTAAATTGTAGGTATTAACTTTAACGAGTTAAGACAACTAGATTTTGCTGGAATATATGTATTCACCGTCTATATAAGCCCAACAATTCAATTAATGCTCATGTTCATTGTTTTTATATAATTAATCAGAGTTGAGAACCCACCCTTTTGTGTTCTAATTGATATACTCTAATGATCCATAATAAAAAAGCCATGATGTACCTAAGTATTTTCCCTTTTCGCTGCCATCAAGGAATTAAACACGCACTTAAAGTCTAACATGAAAAGAGCATTCGTCGACTTGAGTTTCTTAGCGAAGATGATAAGCACTTTACCTTGGTTAACTATAAACATAGAAATTAATTCGCTTTAACGTCACCTGCAGACTATAATTTTCTGCCGTGCTGCGCCTCGTCCTTTCGCCGTCGCGTCGTTATGGCGCAAGACCTTACCGCGCAATTCTTCGCTTCGTTTCAGAACACGATCGCGCGGTTCTCGATTATCTCCTCATGTTCTTCCTATCAAGTCCAAGGTTTCCTGGAGCTGCGAGTCGCTGCATTGTGCCCCGGCATTGTGCTCGTAATGGACATCCGATTCGCAGAATAAAACGAGTCGACGAGGCCATTTCGTGAAAAGACCGGCACGATAGACGACTGTGCGTGACGGTTAATTAACCCGCGCGAGGGTATTTCGCGTATTATTACGCTCACGAATAACTCCAAAGTGAATTTCGATATGTGAAGCGACAAGATAAATCGAACAAACGCAATCGCTATACTCGCCGACTTGTTTCAGAGTTTTGCGGTTTTATAATTTACCAAGACTAAGCGTTAATTGGCGAACCAAATTAACCATTATTTGCTGCAACCAACGACGCACCAATAGCCGCGACATCCCAGCCTGTAAACCGAATCGAAAATCAGCATATCGTGATTACTGATGCCGTTTTGCAGTCCGCATATTTACGAACGAAATACGGCGAAACGCTTGAAACAGGACTGGGCCCGAGGCGGTTACATTATGATACATTCCGTTTGATTTGGGTAACCTGATTAACTTCCGACGTGTTGATGCTGAGGTTTGTTTAATCCATTAATGATCGAAACATCGATACCGTCTGCTATTGCACGACATGAGGAAAAATATCCATTAATTGAATTTTATTATTGATCGCTATTTAACCAGCTTCTAGTTCCGCTCGTCACTGTTTTTGTTATTTTTTAATTAACTCGTTAGAAAACAGAGTGAGGTATACTTTGTTAGGCGAATATCTCCACTTGAATTAAATCGAAAGTATTTACGTACTCTCTCTTATTAAATAAAAATTAAGCTAATGAAATTTAATAAGTGATGCAATATATATATTTATACATATGATATATACAAACTAATTATGTTTTGAGAAGAAATTCACCGTAGAAAAATACACGTTAAAACTTGAACTATAAATGATTCCACAATGCAATTCCGAGAAATAAGTCGAAGATTCTGCCACTCGTGGTGCACGTGAAGTTTAATTAAGCGAGAGTTTAATTTGGCTGGACGTAAATTCGCATGCGGACGCAATTTCTTCGGGCATTGATCTCGGACCACTATTGCGTCACACTATCATCTGAGAATTACATTCCACATAACGTGGCCATCGCGGACACTCGACGCGAAATTAATGATAGTTGTCAGTTGAGAGTCACGAAATAAATGACGCGATTCGTTTGAACTTATAAATAGCATGTGACAGTAATTAATCATCTGAGTTTTTACAATTTTGGATTTAATCGAAAAAAGTAACGAACTTTTTGAAGAGTCTTTTAAACTGCCGTCCAATCGCGAAGATGCTTCAGCGTGTCAGAATTAGACGGCAACGCCTTCTTCGAAAGCATTGGCACGCTATTGATACCAGTGTCGGGTCACTTTTACATCAGTACCAACGCCGACGTCTTACATTCCGAAGTGTAAAATCGGCTGCTCCAAAAAACCATCGGAGCTCGATCGTGTAATCAAGTGCAATGTTTTATCTCAGTAAAATTACTTCTGTTGATATTGTAATAATGTTCGGAACCTTTTTTTAGAAGATTGTGAAAGATAGTGTGTAATATAAAATAAACGAGATGTATCTCCAATGAAAATAATAATTAAAGAAAATAATTAAATAAATAAAAAGAAAGGCCAAATACGGTTGAAAACAGATTTAGTGTCTAATACTCGTAATATTTATATGTCAATTTTAAATGTTCATCCAGTTACATAAACCGCGCTCCCATTAGTGTCGAACAATCATAAACTGTGAACCTAAAATAATAATATTATAAATTTAATTAATTGTCAATTTAATAATGATTCTAATAAAGCATCTTACAATATTGCAGAGAATTTATTGCGAAAAATATTAACTCAGCTAGGAGAGTTGAATGTGATTTTAAAACCTTCCAACAATTCAAGACAGGAGGTGCTTTTTCCTAATTCGACTGTAATATTTATCACAAATATACAATATTTATAATCAATATATATGTATATGAAAAGAGAACATATTGTGCAAAAGATTTACATATTATATATAAATAAAATAACTTAAACAGAAAATGTATAATATGTTAATTTGAATAAGAGAGTAGTATTTTCCTTTAAATATAAAATAAAAATTAAAAATCATTTTTATATAATACTTATAAAATTAAATTACATTTGTATCAATTTCACGGAACATATAGATCATTTTTTAATAGGAGGAAATCACTTTCGTCAAAACTTTAATATTTAAAATAAAAAAGACAAAAGAATCTATATTATTGATATTATCTCAATCACAAATAACTAACCTTGCTTTAACAAGCGATCATGTTTCTTCTTGGAAGAGCTATCTTGCGATTCGATGAGAAATGTGAGCTGAAGTAAACGAAGAGAAATCTTCCTAGAAAACTGTCGTAAAAGGGAAACAAAAATAAAAGTCTATGACTTTCGGTTGAACGGAATCCGACGATATTTATCATTGTAGAAACTTTGCCCGCTTTTTCGAGTGCTATAAAAACGTATCATCGTGCATCGCACACAAAAAACACATATAACGAATATTTTATCGAAAGAACGACTCGTTGAGAAGTAGGATCGTTATACGTAATGAATTGAGACACGATAGTACATGAAATGAAAGGATTTACGAGGGGATGCGTTTTCATGGAATAGAATGTTGATGGAGATTGCTGGCTGAAGTACCGTGTCTAAACTATTTCGCTCTCGCACGCGCGGTTTCTCCATAAACAATATGCAGCGGTGTTTGGTATTCTTGGAAGCCCGTAAGCGCTTCAATCACTCTGAAATTTTCCTTTGCTCATACTGCATATTACGCTCGCGAGCAGAGCAAACATGTGGTACGCCCAAGTATTATCTATTCTTACACGAGTTTCCATCAATGTGAAAATATGGATCAAGGTTTTGGTGGAACGTTAAATACACACGTATAATGGAGTTATATTAAATTAGAGGTATTTTGCTATTATAATAACTAAAAACTGCGCAAAGTATAATAATAGTTAACAGGCTTTGACAGGTAAAGTGAAAATACTTGAAAATTTGAAATATAAATATAATTCCTTTTTCAAATGATGAATCGTTCGTCGTTATTATCTTTTTCTTCTCACATTAAAAAAAATTTATTTTATTTTATAAAATTATATTTGTAGAATTATTCATGTGATAAATAGTTTATAATTATTTCATTATCTATTAAAAGTATGTCAATGATTGACTCAATTAATGTCGATTAGCATTTTGAATATTATTTTCACAATTGTGTCGATTCTCGACACAAATGCGCCCTCAATTGCAACATCCTTGTCAGCACCTTTATTCGTGTTCAGAGAATGCACTCGACATAATGGTCGACGAAACTATGTCGGGGGAATAAAGCGCGTGTGATAGAACAAGAGAGGAATATAGAGACAGTCTGATACTTATGACACGCTTTCAGAACACAAGAAACGGGAGAAAAGGGGGATTTGATTCGTGACATATATCCCCGATGTTCTCTTCATTGATATCGATTTCTAGCAACGATGGGTACGCCCGCGATATTCAATTGAAAGTATTCGTTCGTGCAGCGCGAACCAATGAAAATGGCAAGCAGCAGATTAAATGAATAGCAAAAATTTGCCTCGAAGGGTGAAATGCGTATAAAAGTTTGAACGCTAATTACAAAGTTCTCGCATTTATAAGGATTTTTAAGTAACAAAGTGGAAGTAGAGATCAAATCAAGAACTTTTTTTACCAAGAAAGAAAGAGCTGAACTGTTTGTAATATATACTAACAAAAAATTCAAGAAAATAATTATAAATTGAAACTGTAAAGATTAACACACACTAGCAATAAATTTATAATTACTTATATCTCAAAACAAAATCACTCAAGTTGTAAAAAGTTACTTTCTGAAGTTGTAGGTAAAAAGTTAAACTCTTTGAGATTTTTAACAAATTTATAATTATATACTTACGTATATTTTAAACAAATTTATTGAAGCTGTAAAAGAGAGAGAGCTATCTGGAATTTATAATATAATTATCAAAACTATACGTCAAGTACATATATCTCAAAACACACTATGTGGGAAAATATATTCGAATAATTACCTTTGAAAATATATTTAAATAAAATATTACGCTAAATAATGTAGTCTTGAATGCATTTTTTAGACTAATACTTTTCGAAACAGTTTCGTAAAATTGATGAAATGTAAATGGTAACTGTTGAACAGCTATTTACGCATGTCAGTTTGCTTCTCTTTTTCTTTTGACATTATATAGCGTCTCTATTTCGCTTGTTCGCACAGCGGTAAATCGAATGGACTTTGACGGACAGCGTATACCGAAAAATATATATATTTGGAATATCACGCACGATCGGACTGTTTTCGCACGATGATAGACTGGGTGTCGATCGTACGTCACTCAAGGCGTCGATTCAGTGATTACATGTTCACCGTGCCGTCCAAAATACGAAAACATCCAAGGGTGAAGCGACACGTCAATTCAACGCTAGGTTCACCCAACGATCGTGACAAGAATAATGCGATTTCGCGTAACTCCAGAAACGGCAGAGGTGTTTGTGAATGTTGCTGGAGTCACGTAAGTTTGAACGCAAGTAAACGTAATGCCATATAATTACGCGATTGAATATTGCATCTATACGTTTACGTTTGCGTTTCTTGACCAATAAGAAAGGAACTGTCGATTAGCAGCTTTTGTTTGATAAGTCAAAAGACGCAAACGTGAACGTAGACGCAATCTCCAATCTAGTATTATACGAGCATTAAACAGTATCGTATTATAACGACGGGAAAAATTTTACATCAGGAACAGGAAACCTTGCGATCGATTAGGATTAAGAAAATTATACATCTCGTAATTATAAACGAAAAAATATTAGAACATATCGCGGCTACTGAAGCATTGTCCAAGCTGATCGTTAAAATTTTATTTATGTACTAAAAGCCAGAGTTATTTTTATGGCCTTTTGGCGTGCGAAATAATCACGCAATAAAATTGTTTTCTTCTTGTTGCAGAAAACGAGGTTTGATGGTATAGGGGTGGAGGAACAATTACCACCACCGCCGTCGCCACCCAAGCTGAAAGAAGCAGCCCACCCGGATGGAATTCCCGGACTGAATTCAATCGAGCGTATCCTTTATCCAGATGGTATTCCGCACCTTAGTCATGAGACGCCCAACAAGGTAAGTGTGTCAAGATAAAAAAATATACCCACCAACAATTCGATAAAAAAAGTCAAGTATATATTAAAAAAGATGCTAAAATTATACGAAGAAAAAAAACCAACTTTCTACTTAATATGCATAGCATACATTATAAACGTCTATTTTATATAAAATGCATGAAAGATATCACGAAAGGAAAAGAGAGTTTGCTTTATGCACGTTTAAATTTTGTTTTTTTTGTTTACAAATTTAAAATTTGACACAAAGAAAGTGCAATAATGAATTAAAAAAGTTGTTTACACGGATCGATGAGTAGCGCATGCGTGCGCGAGCTCGAAATGTTCGCCACCTACGTTTTCATCCCTGAAAATACTCACCCTTACCGCAGGATCGATAAACGTGGTTCTCCTGCGGTTGGTAACGGTTGGATAAACGTGGAAGATAAACCTTCCACGTTATCGAGTGCTATACTACCACACTGGCAAACGTCAACAGATCATGAAATCTTACGATCACGAAATATACACTTTATATTCATGAAATTTTTAACATTTTCGCGTATCGATGTAATAAAACAAAAAAAACTATTATATTATCCAAAACTATCATGAATTCCAACGATCTGAATTAAATTATGATTAATTTTCAAGAATAGAAATAAATAGATTTCGATCGAGTGTCTGTACTTTTAAATTTTGAATTAGAATCTAATTCTGATTTTATCATAATAGTTTCAACATTCGAATCTTGATTAAAACAGTTGAGGACATTTGTCACCCCTGGAATAGTCTGCTGCACCCTCCGACAGATGGCAGAGACGACGCGAGGTCATCCCGGGATTCCCCGGAAGGCCGCGCGGTCTCGCTACTGTCTGTCACGTGGTAAGATCGAGGTCTGCATTACCCTGCCCCCGTTGACTGTCCGCAACACGTGGACAAAACAGTTCGGCCGCGACTTTGCAGCCCGTCGGCCTCGAGAGTCGGACATGCGACAGGGGTCGTAGGTGGGCGGTTCGGTCGCGGTAGTTCCGGTGAATGTGCGGTGGATCGGTATGTTATCTGGTCCCGTTGAGACCGCGAGAGTGACGACGAGAGTCCTACATACGACGGAGAGTCTTGAAGAGAGGGTGTTTCCTTACGTTGGACCCGACGTCCTTGGAAACTTGGGTGTGAAAAACCGAAAGGCATTATTGATCGCACTTCGCAGAGTGCAATGTTTTTCTATTGCCAGCCGTGGTCGATAATGAGGACGATATAGGACGGGATATTTCGCGGTCGCGCATCCGGATCGTTCGATAATCGTCGCGGAGTTATAGGTTCAGGAATACATCCGGATCGCCATAACGTCTTCCGGTACTTAATTGTACATAAGCGACACCACTGAGCGCTGGAATGACCAATCGACTGAATCCGTCGCGTTTTCCTATAAATGTATACAATTTCAACGACAACCTCGCTCGCGTATAAATAATTCAGGAATTAGGTTAATTAATGCCGTGGGTTATCACGTCGTCGCCATTTCGACTAAATGTAATTACATGGTTTTAATTACTGAAATTTAATGATTGTATATGACATTATTTAACAATCGCCTATATCATGCTTTGATAACATTTGGATTTATTTATTTTTCACATTTATTCATCTTTTTTATTTTTATTTATTTGTTGTATATTTCAAAACTGCGTTATCTTTTGCTTTAAAATATACTTATTGATATTGAAAATTGTCAATATGTCGAAAATGTAACACGTTTTATTTTTACTTTAAAAACTGATTTTGGAAATTAACGTCGAGAAACTTTAAAGGTAAAATTACACTGCAACTTTAAAATTCTTCATAGGCATTCCACGAACGAAATTCATCGGACGAGACCATTGATGTGTGCTGAATCTGAAACCATTACATTTGCTGTAGAAGGGAGGATCGTTAAATATAAATTATGCAGACGCGCAGCACAATGCGAGATAGCATCGCGCGAAAATTCAATGCACCTGCGTCAGAGAAGGTGGGTCATATTTGCGAGATTAATAGACGATCGTAAGTTACGAGCGAATTGAAGCTGTGTGGGAGGGGACTCTTATCGCTCTTCTGTCGGTCGTTCAGAGTGAATGAGGCGCGCATTCCGTGGATTGCATTGTACAATCTTCTTTATAGCACATTTGTCCGATATATGACGCAATTTGTGCGTAAGAACAAAATGTAACGATATAAACGGCATCAGTCGAGGTTTTTTTACTTTACGTTGAATTGGATTTCTTGCTTTAAGAACATTTATTTATCTTGTAGCTGAGATACTTTTCTTATCGCAATTTTTATATTTTTTACTTCTCTAGTATTATAAATGTTATAATATTTTCACGTAAAAATATCTGTCAGACGCATTAATTTTTTTTGTATTACTCGCGCAAATAGCAGTTGAATCTTATTTATGCTCTATATTGAATATTACTTTATATACATATAATATGTATATATTTTTTATAAGCGAAAGCTCATTAACAAGGAACTGTTAAGCGCATTGATGTTTTCTAAAAGTATTTAATCGATCGATGAAAGTCTCTTGTACTGTGTCGGTAGTTCGGAAGTAGTTCGTTAATTTCCTGCGGAACGATTCTATCCACGAGGGTTGCAAGTGCTCGCTAAAGACTAAGTTTTAGCTACTTAAGACAAGAAACACCGGTTATATGAAGGTAACTACAAACTCGTCGCGCCAAGAGGGTCGTTTCAGCGTTATACATAATTTATGTTGTGCGATAAATTACCATCCTCATCATCCGGACTAACACGACGACGGGTTCGCTATGCGAACAGCGCGATAATATTATTTTAGCCCGACAACGATGACGCATGAATTTCCCGTGACGTCTTTTCTTTCTTTTTTTTCCGCTGTCTCTTCCACACGAATTCGCCTTTTCCTTCTTCCAGAGTTCGTCGTAATTTATCGACGTTTTTACGTGAATTTTTCCAATTGCAACGTCGCCGAATTGAGGCCAAGTGAAGGAGTATTCCAGATCTTAGAAAAAAAAGCATGAAAAAAGGGTGATTGCGTGTCTCGTTAGGCGCAAGAAGGTTTTATTCAAACTGTGCACGTATTAAATTTTATATTAACGAAATGTAAAGACATTTTCAGAGAATAATATTTAGGAATAATTTTTTATTTAAAAATGTAAATATTTTTAAGAATCTCATACTTGTATAAAAAATGACTATACATATAGTGAAAGATATATTCAATTTTTAATCTTATTTTATGCGAAAATGTTGTTATGCGAAAGTATTATAATACACATTTATTTTGAATGTACACATTTGATATTCTCTCCAAATGTACATATTATGTGGATTTCCATTAAATTCGCAAAAAGTGATGTAGATTCAAAGAAATGGATGAACATGAGAAAAGATTAAGGTAGATGACGGTCAGACAGAATATGCTTCGCTTATTTCTTTCTTTTCCATGTATGATACCGTCCGATAGTCGACCTTTACGTGACCTAGAACGACCTAGATACTACCTCCGCTGTTGCCCATTTTCCTGGCTTCTCGGTTAGCGAAATGTTCGACGATAAAAGTCACTTTCCTCGTGCCGTCGAGACTTGATTTTTAAGTCGGCAAAGTAACAGAAAATTTTTAATACCTTTTAAAATTTCGTGAACAAAACTACAGGAAAAGGCTATTTCAGATATAAACCATAAATGTATTGCAATGATTTAACCGTTAACGCATTAAAAAATTACAGGAGTCATAAACGATTATTCTAGTCGCAAAAAGCATTGCACAAATTACGAATAAAAATTATTCAACAAAATAATTAGGCAGGATTAAAGAATAAAATTTCGTTCAGACTATCAGAATATTAATTCAATTGATTACTCGTGTCAATTCATATTACGAAAGAATCAAACTGTTTGTGTTAACATAATTTGTCGGTTAACGATATCTGATGACAGATTCATCGCAGCTGATAACACTATTAATTTTCCCCAATATTATTTCGATATTCAATATAATTCCGCACATTGTGTGCACCTATTATTATTAAAATTCTTCAATTAATTAATGTATGTATATGTATTGATATAAAATAATAGTAAGAGCAAATAATTTGCACTGGGTAAATTATACGCTGGGTATATGTCAAAATGTGATGAGACAGAAACGAAAATTCTTTCTCTTGTAAAACATTACTGTGGAAAATCCAGTTTTAATCCTTTTTAACTATTTTATTTTATGTAAAAAGGAATATTTTCCAGCGTACTCGATTTTTATAAGTAACTACGTGCGTTGTATAATCGCGATACTAATCATTAAATGTGCACGCGATGCGTGTCGCTCAACGAGAAAATCGCTGGAATTAGAGTGTAACGAACTCTTTGCATGTCGGACTCCATTTGACATTTACTTTGAGCATTCGGACGTAACATGTATGTACATGACGCGACAAAATATCACGAATTTAAATAATTATTTAATAACCACGTGCAGTTATTTTTTATCGCGCTTAATCCTTGCAAGCATTTCTCATAATTCTCGCTCGTATAGGTATGCAAATTTTGTTTGCAATTTCTTTTTGACATTTAATCTTATCGATTGTATTATACTCTCGATTAAATGTTAAACGAAATCTTAGCATCCCTAGATTTTACATTATTTGTCGTGTCTAGATTTTACATTATTCATTAAGTATGAATGCAATTACAATTCTTCTCTCGCGCGCTCGGCTTCACCTGTATACGGCTAATCGAAGAGATTCCCAAAAACTCTGAGCAAAGTTAAATTACAGGCTGATTGCAAATTGCAAATCAGCTTGCAATTGCTCGGCGAATTGTGATTTAAACGGAATCGTGCGACAAAATTAAATCACGATTCGCTGCGTGCATTTGATCGCGACACATGTTATGACTGACTTAACGTGTCGGTTTACATTTTAACTTTCAGTTTAATCGCGATTAATCCCTTCATATAGCTGCGCAGATTAAGCTAACCAATACAGGAATTGCTGTTTGATGCGAGCAA